ACCATCCTCTTCTCCCTCGCATCCCGAGTTATGATAGCGCTTGCGATTTGCGTCGCCAGCAGCTCCCCTAGTGTGCTGAGCTCTCCATTTGTGCCGCCTAGAATTGAGGTCGCGGTAAGGCTAGGTGTGGGGAGAAGGTCAGTGTTAGGGAGCGAGGGGTCCGTGTCCAAGTAGGAATTAGAGAGGGGGTTGTTGTCTGTGGTTGAGAGCGAGAGGGGGACGTGTACCTTAGAGCAGAGTGTTAGGTATCGTTTGCATGACGAAAAGGGAGGGAAGACGGAAGGAGCTGCAAGTATATACCCATTGTGCTAATCTCCCATTCTGACTTATCGTTATGAGAATCTTGTCAGCGAAGGATATCGTTGTTGCTGCGGTTTCTATACCCGCTATGTTTGCCGAAGCTGTTTTAGTCGCGGCGGGGAAGGGGACGGGCGTGATTGGATAGTTTTCATCTGGGACGGTCATATTGAGTAGATACTGAGAAGATCAATAATTAAGCTACGATCACAGAAGCATTCAGCAATTCCATACTTGAAGTCGGCCAGCAGAGGTGACGATCCTTGGCGTCCCATCTGATAGTGCAGTGGGCCCGAGCTCTCCACACCGCCTTCGGAGTTCCGGTCCCTTTCCTCCGATCCCCGCCAAAATTTCGAGAGTCCCCATCCATCCAAAATCGCCATCTGGGACCTGTCAAGCGTCAAATCACAGCCCAACATGCCGAAATTTGTCCCGAGACAGCGGAAACACAAAGTCATAGCTAGGCAAAAACGAGAAGCTACCGCAGATGTAAATCAGTTCGAAGATGGAGCTGCAGATCCTAATGCGGCGGTCTTTCTTCCGGCGGAGAAGCGAGAGCGGGAAGAGAGGAAGAGGGCGATGAAGAACGAATTGGTGGCGGAAAGCAAGGGGAAGATGAGTGCAAAGAAGAAGAAGAGGTTGGATCATTATATTGTAAGGCTCTTCCTTTTCAAAATCATACACATATAGAGATACATATATCCAGAAACTAATATCCCACCTCTCTACATAGGATACCAAGCTCCGCAAAGAAGAAAATCTCGTCCTCCTCAAAAAACTCGCAGCGCACAAAGTCGACACTTCTCTCTTCCAGAGCTCCAAAAAACTTGGCCGAGGCGACGAAACTAGAAAAGAGAGACTGAGAAGGGCGTTGTTGGAACGGCAAGCGGGCATAGATGTTGAGAAGAATGAAGGCTTGTTATTTGAAGAGAAGGAAGTGGAGATGAGCGAGGGAGAGGCGGAACAAATTGGCGAGGTGGTGAGGGAGATTAAGGCGAAGAAGATTAAAGAAGGGGAGAAGAAGACTGGGGTGAAAAGGAAAGCACGGAGTTCTCAAAGTCCGGAAGGAGTGGCCGAGCTTGAGAAAGAGGAAGGACGTGCGGAGATGTCAACACCAAATGCACTTCCAAGTCTTGTTCCTCCACCCGTAACTTTTGGGAGTGTGGGTAGTGGGTTGAAGAGGCCGCTTGAAGTGGATGAGGAGGGGAAACCGATTATAAAGGCAAGGAAGCGATTAAAGGCAAAGAATAAGTCTGTGCCGATTGAACAGCCGCAGGAAGTGGAGTGGGACGGTTTCAGCTCAGATAATTCGGATGATGAAAAGGACGACGCTGAAGAAGAAGATGATGCTGAGAAACCTGTGCAGATGAGCGAGGAAGAAGTCAAGAAAGCACTTCTGGCTCAGCTACTTAATGGATCTGACAGCGAAGAGGAAAGCGAAGAGGAAGAGGAGGGCTCCGGCTCCGATAATTCAGGTACAGAGTCAGAAGAGGACGATGGAAGCGAAAGTGAAAGCGATAGCGATACCAGCCTTGATGAAGATGCTAAAGCTTCCAGAAAGCAAAGAGCGTCAGCCTTCAAGGCCTGGGCCACGCAGCAGAGAAACGAAGTCATTGGGTTCGTCCCTACGACTAATATCGAATACGCGATACCCGCACCGCCAACCAACTTCAAGCCGCGCGCCCCAGAAATGGATCCGTTACCGCCGGAGCTGGAAAGCAAAACTGCGACGGATGGGACGAGAAAAGCTTTCAGTGTAACTGTGGACAGGTCATCTGAAATTCAGGAGACCAGATTGAAACTGCCCATCGTCGCCGAGGAACAAAAGATTATGGAAGCCATACACAATAACAACGTCGTCGTTGTTTGGGGTGCCACCGGTAGCGGTAAAACAACCCAAGTGCCCCAGTTCCTCTTCGAAGCCGGATACGGAGCTCCTGGTGGACCAACTCCGGGCATGATTGGTGTAACACAGCCTAGACGTGTTGCTGCTGTGAGTATGGCGAAGCGTGTTGGTGATGAACTGGGAGAACATGGAAAGAAAGTGTCATATCAGATTCGATTCGACACTACGACGAATGCGGAAACCGCTATCAAATTCATGACTGATGGTGTTTTGCTCCGCGAAATTTCTCAGGATTTCGTTTTGACAAAGTATTCGGCCATTGTTATTGATGAAGCACACGAGCGCAGTGTCAATACAGATATCTTGATTGGCATGCTTAGCAGGATTGTGGATCTGCGGGCTGACATGGCCAAGCAAGATCCGAGACAAAACCCATTGAAGCTGGTAATCATGTCTGCTACTCTTAGGATATCAGATTTCACGGAAAACAAGCGCCTTTTCCGACACGGTCCGCCACCTTTGGTTAAGGCTGAAGGTCGTCAATATACGGTCACGAATCACTTTGCGCGGAGAACGCAGAGGGATTACGTGGAAGAGATGTTCCGGAAGGTAAGCAGAGGACACAGGAAACTGCCACGTGGCGGTATGCTAGTCTTTTTGACTGGTCAGAATGAGATTACGCAGTTGGCGAAGATGTTGAAGCAAGCTTTTGCCTCGACGCAAGGGAATGCTAGCACTGCCTCGAAAGTTCAAATATCACCAGCAGAGGTACCGCTCGAAACTGAAGACATTGATCTTGGGGTGAAGAGAGATGACATCGAGGATAACGACGGTTCGGATTCCGAACAGTCTGTCATTCATGGTTTGGATGACGAGGAAGAGGATCGCGAGTTCGATATCGGCGAAGAAGCAGCAGAAGACTCGATCATGAAGGTCCATGTCTTACCTCTGTATTCGCAATTACCCACGAACCAGCAGTTGCGGGTATTCGAGCCGCCACCGGACGGTTCACGGTTGATTGTGCTGGCAACCAACGTTGCCGAAACATCTCTGACTATCCCAGGCATACGCTATGTGTTTGATTGTGGGCGGGCTAAGGAAAAAAAATACGATCTCATCACGGGTGTGCAAAGTTTCGAGGTCGGATGGGTTAGCAAAGCCAGCGCGAATCAGCGAGCTGGTCGTGCTGGCCGTACAGGCCCAGGTCACTGCTACAGACTGTACTCTTCCGCCGTCTTTGAGAGAGACTTTGAGGAGTATGCTGCCCCAGAGATCCAACAAACTCCGCTAGAGGGTGTGGTTCTTCAGCTTAAGAGCATGGGAGCGCCAGTGCTTAATTTCCCATTCCCAACACCGCCTGATCGAGAGAACCTTAAGAAGGCAGAGGACTTGCTGTCGTATCTTGGAGCTATCTCTCCTGATGGCAAGGTCACGAAGCTGGGCCATGAGCTTTCAGTCTATCCGCTCAACCCCCGGTTCGCGCGGATGTTAGTGATGGGGGTGGCTCAGAATCTAACGGCTCAGACTATTGCCCTGGTGGCGGCACTATCGGTTCCAGAGCTCATTATTCCGGAGAACAAACTTGGCCTACGGGAGCCGCACGGCGACCCAGAGGCAATCCGTACGGAACAAGACAACATCGAAGCCGCAGAACGCTCAGCCCTTCGAAAAGCCTACAATCAAGCCCAAAGCAAACTAGCTACGAACGCCAAACAAAGCGACTGTATTAAATTCAACAATGCTGTAAGTGCGTACGCATTCGAGGATGACCCCGAAGCCTTCTGCGACAGAATGTTCCTCAACTACAAAGCCATGAAAGAAGCCAGCCAGCTCCGCAGCCAGCTCACCACCATCGTCCGCAACCATCGTCCCACAGCCATCGGTGCCTACAACCCCAAACTCCCTCCTCCTACTGAAAGCTCCATCAACCTCCTTAAGCAAATATGCGCCGCTGGTTTCATCGACCAAATTGCTATGCGCGCCGACCTCGCTCCTATACCGCCTGAGCTGCCGCGGAAACCTAGAAATGCGATTGAGGTCCCGTATGTCACGCTCTTCCCTTCGTCTACTGGGCACGCGGGAAATTCAGACTTGAGCGAGCAATATGTCTATTTGCATCCTTCATCCGTACTCTCCCGCATGCCCATTGCAAAGTTACCGGGGTATATCATTTACTCGCATCTCCAGCGCGCCGCACCCTCCACCATCTCCGGATCCAAGACTCCGAAAACGCGAATGCATCCCCTGACTCCAGTTACGAGACCGCAGGTTGTGAATCTGGTGGTTGGTACGCCGTTGTTGGGGGTTAGTAAGCCGATGGGAAAGGTGGTAGATTTGGGGAAAGAAGGCGGAGTGATGCGGAGAGAGTGTGAGGTTGAGGTTAGTTTGCAGGGACCTAAGGGGAGGCAGGGGTGGGGGTTGGGGATTAGGAGAGCTGTGCAGATGAAGGAGGAAGCGGGATCTTGGATTGTGGAGAAGTTCGTTGGATAGGTTAGCAAAACTTTGGAAGGAGAGTGACGGGTGATCTTCGTTTTTGCATATTGATGGAATATAAAATAAAGATACCCAATTTTAGAATGCAACCTAGATTTAAAGCAATACATAGAATAACGCTGAAACACAGGTACCACAATCTCAGTGTTTCTCCTTTAATCAAAGAAAGCAAGTAATATATACTTTTACAAGGCGCTTGAATGACACTGAAACCCCATGGTTCAGCCCGACCAAAAATGCAAGTGCAGCAACCAGGTCAAATTGTACCTTTGGTTAGCACGTCTTGGACATAACCGCTAATAAAAACAATGACCACGTGATGGCAATTCACGCACAAAAGGACATTGGGAGTCCAAAAATTATACTCCTTGACAGGGAATCGAACCCTGGCCACGAGCGTGACAAGCTCGTATCCTAACCACTAGACGATCAAGGATTCTATTAATTTGATATTAGGTATAAGGCCTTGCTGTGATTATGGAGGGGACGACGAAGCGTGTGGGGCCCGGACGCGGTCCAGGCTCGAGGAATGGAGCTGATAATCATCCATAAGGAATCATAGGGGACGATGGCGAAAACGATGACGGCGGTAGAAAGGGTGTAGAGCATAGAGGGTAACGTTGGTGGAGATTTACGATATTCTCTTATGTGAGAAGAAGGTATTTGGGTCTATGTATGGCTGTATAACGTAAAAACAGTCTGTGTCACTTTGGAAGCGTGCACATCCATAGACAAAAAGCCCGCCACTTTCCCGAGTCTACCTTTGAAACCGTCTCTTGTTAGATTCTGTCCGAAGCCCATCACTACTTTACAAGATCTGGAGAAACTCGAATTCCTTAGCTCATATCAGCAGTCAGTTCAGAGCATGTAAGATTTTCATCAGGCCCAAGCTACGGATCTTCCTATGCTTCGAGATATCCAGACTCAAAGTGTCCTTTTATTGAACCAAAATATATGTATACTGACAATAGCTGAGCAATTTTAGTGGCTATTTCGCTGCGACTACTTCAGTATATTCCCAAGGACAGCACTCTGAAGCTGACGACAGGACAAAGGACGAGGTCCTCGCCGCAGCCGAGACCGAAGGTGAAGAACATGGAAGGATAGTGGAAGAGACATTAAAGGCTTATGGCCTATCGGGTGATCTGAGTCAAAATGCCGAAAAATAAACATGCAATGAGGCACACGCCGTCCTGATTGATAATGGTCCCGGATATGACACCATAACAAATACCAGCTACAATGTTTGAGTGCAGACGGGGCAGAGTGTATCGCATACCCGTACGACTTCTACTATGATTAGCGGATCGGATTCTGGTATTCATGGTATAGTAGAAGTAAAATGGCTCCAAGTGCACTCTTCCTAAATCTCCTCAAAAATGGAAAGGCTCGAACGGAAACTCCGAATTGCAGACGACGAACAAGAGAACCGAGAGTAGGTCGGGCGCATACTGCATACATGTGGTATCCAAAGTAGATTGGCGCCCCAAGGAAATATAAATTGATAACTTTATCCTCGTGTGAAGGAGAGTGTATAGTTACAGTTTTTGAGGGATACAGCACCCATCGCCAGGAGCAACCACAAAACTCCCTCGGTGACTCTGATGCTGGTGTTGAACCACATGAAGAGAATGGATTGGGATACTACTTATTGCTTGATTTATGCTTGTTGTGCTTTTAGATTTCCGAGTTAATTAACTACACAAATATATTGAAACCATCTTTGAACTTTTGATCAACGGATTAAAAATTTACGGCAGAAGAGAAAGCAAAGACCGATAAGTAATTTTTTCTTAGCGATTCACTATCTTGGAACATTCTTATGATTCAGTACTGGGTGATATCGAGATGTAATGTGACCCTTGGAGCTGAGGTGTGAAAGGGGGCACGCCGAACTGATCACGTGCGAGCGTGAATCACCGAGATTCTTCCGACGCGTCTACTCTCTGACTTCATCGCAGCTAACTTCCCTTCCCTGCGTTCTAACCCTGGAATACCACATTTAACATGGCCGATTTCTGGCGCGGGAATATTCTTCTCCCTAACGGCGAAACTATAAACGGTAAATCTTCCTTTTGTATACTCTTTTCTCTTTCTAACAGAGTGCAGATGTCTCACTCGCGTCGAGCGAAGCCGCGCCCACTCCCAAACTCCCTCCTACCCCTCTCCGCTTCCTATCGACCGTCAACACTGCACGGATCCCACTCTATCTTGCCGCTGGGCCTAGTTTTGAGGTTTGGACTTCCTCAGAGGATACGCAGGAATGGTTTTACTCGTTGCTGTCGAGTAAAACGGGAATATTAGAAAACGGGTTAGGGAATGCATCCGCCCAGGACTGGTGGAGCTATCTTCGTTCTCAGTCACCGATTGGTATATTAGCACGAGTGGATGTAGAGCATACTTCTGAGCCTGGGCAAGGTCCAAGAGTCACTGAGATCTTGTTTTATGGAACGATATCCAAATGCCCAAGTATTGGACTCCCAACTCCACCAAGGTCCTCAAATACCTCCCCTGGCTCCCACCGCGAAAGTAATGAGGACCTCCCCCAGCTAAGAGTCCATGCACTTCCATTATCGTCTGACCTACTGCTTTCTTCACAAATTCCTGATGTTTCTATCCCTTTGAAGCCGGCTGGAGCCACCGAAAACCCTTCCGAATCCCAGTATCTTTCGTCTCGTTTCTCCCGGGCTCCAGCTCATACCACATCACCTAAGAAGAAGAGAGATATCTTTGAAGAAGCCACACAGGCCCGAAAAAAAGCAAAGAGGAAAGGTGGAGAGAGCATATCTGCTGCGGCCGCCAGGTTTGATAACACCAAGCCAACTGCAGTGCAGCGGAAATTGTCGATTGACATCAAAGGACTTATATTGCCGGATCTCAAGGGCCCAAACACCGCTGATTTATCTGCGCAGCCGAGATCCCGGACGCATTCTCGTTCGGGTAGCATTTCTCACGATGCTCGTCCGTCGAGTAGAAAGGGACTTCTTGATGGAGCAGGAAAGCGTTCCTCTTTATCCCAGGTTGCGAATGTGCCTGTAGAACCGGAAGAGCCTACCATTGAATCGAGGAACAAAGAAGCCTTATCTCGGGTCGTGATGGCAGCAATGCGCATGTATGGACTGCAGCAACGAAAAAAGACAAACAGGTCTCACCGAGAATCGGTTAGTGTGGCCGTCGCACATGATAGATCTGATGAGCAAATTAACGCGGAAGAGGCTGCGAAGGATGAAGAGTACAAGCTGATATATCACCAAACCTTTAAGGGTGCTGCTTTGGCTTTAGTAAGTTTGTCGTACTGCGATCTTTGCCCTCTATTTTGAGCTAATGGACATCAGAGAAAGCATATCAAAACAAAGCCGCTACATCCTTTTCCCGATATTTTGCAAGACACAGTTGAGAAACTCCTTGCTATCTTCTGCGTCGACCCTTTGACTGAACCGCTTCCAACCGAGGAGACCATTGGTTTCCTGACCACACCAAGTGTAGCTCTGCGAGCAAATCCGTTCGATGCTCCATCTTCTGCAATCAAAACTACCGATACCATACGGGTGCCTGTTCCTTCGCCTACTCCACATGGAAAACATACCTGAAGTGGTACAAGTCCGCTTCCGCTCCCGTGAACCACATCTTCCTCTCCTGCTCATTTATTTTTGCGCCATATCAACCAACCGGAATGACTACAGATTTTCCACGGGTTTGCTGATAACGCCATCGATCGTTCGAGCCCGTGGTACTGCAATAGCTACATGCATTAGTGCGGGGTTCTGATCTATCATTGGCCGAGAGCATGCATATATGGCTTTCCCTGCATACAGAATACTGTAAATGCGAAGCTGTAGGGATTTTTCGGCTCAGCTGCCCCACCACTGATGGAAATGAGACAGTTGAGCAACTGGGCTTAAAGGCCACGTTGCATTGAGCGAAGTGTTCATTGATAATACAATCAAACAGACACTGTACCGACCACTTCTTTGAATTGGAAGTCCAGTCATGTCCGTTTCACGGTCGACCTCTCCTCAAGCGGCCCCGGTCTCCGGTCTTCATAAGAGGTATCTTGAAGCAGCCTCGGTAGCTCCGTCAGTTCCCCGGAGGAAACTCCTGATTCCGTCAACTCTTGATAGAACCGTTACGTCTTCTGTTATTCCTGGCCCCGATATTCAATGGAATCCGTCCTATTCAACATATCAAGAGCGGATCAGGCGACTTGCAACATTGTATCCTTCCCGCCCGGCTTATCTTCCCAAAGGTTATTCTCAGACGGTCGAAAAACCTTGGGTATGGACCGGCTCGCGATTCAGTGATGAGTCCAGCTATGTAGTTCAACTGCAAAGGAGCGATATCCTCGAGATTGAAACGGCTTTGGCTTTCTTCAAAAATACGACCGACGGTAGCCCGGCAAATGTTTCACGTGCAACGTTTCCGTTGCCAAATCTTCATGGGGCCCTTGAAAGGATTGCAATGAATATTCACAGTGGATTCGGATTCAATGTAATCCGAGGCTTGGATCCCAAGCGTTATTCATCCCTGGACAATGTGCTTATATACCTTGGCATTACTAGCTATGTCGCTGAGAAACGAGGAGTGCAGGATTCCAGCGGCAATATGCTTATCCACGTGAAAGATCTCGGGCGGGTCATCCCAGACTCGGAGTTACGACAGTCTCCGTATGCGAGGAATGCGCAGGTACGTACATGTATTTCTAGTGTTGCATTTTCTGAATCTGCCTCCTATCTGACACTGTCTAGCCCTTCCATAATGATGTCTGTGACATTCTCGCTATGTATGTGCAAGAGCAGGCTGCTGAAGGCGGTGAAAGTTACCTGGCTTCAGCTGCACAGATATACAACGACATCGCAGCCAAACGCCCTGACGTAATCCACGTTCTAGCCGACGACTCATGGATTTTCGATAAACACAAGACACCGGCGTATTGGAATACTCGCGCCCTTTTGTTCAACTTTGACGATAAGAGCCCAGCCTTTTGTTTCTCCCGCCGCCCTATCACAGGATCTCCCACCTCACCACGAAGCCCAGGTGTGCCTCCAATGACCGAAATCCAAGCCGAAGCTCTTGACATGGTTCATTTTACTGGTGTCAAACATCAGTTGAGCATGAGATTACAGCGTGGTGACATCCAGTTGATCAACAACCTTGCCGTCTTCCATGCTCGCAATGGCTTTAGAGACAGCACAGCCCAGCGTCGCCATATCTTGCGTCTTTGGCTGAGGAACGAAGAGCTGGCTTGGAAGACTCCCCAGGGCCTACAGAGGACATGGTTCGAGAAATATGGCGATTCTCCCCGGCGAAAACTTGCGAAATGGAATATTGAACCTGGAACGAGCCGACAAAGAGTGCTTTATCGAAGTGATAGCTGCTCTTGATTCTCGGATTAATCTTTATCCTGGCCATGTCGTTCATTTTATCTAGGCTGCTAGC